CTGAAGAAGTTAACCACTTAACCAACTGTTTTAACAACTTGTTCCAGCTCAGCATCTTCAACTACCAACTGCTTCTGTTTCTTTTCCAGCTCCGGCTTCGGCTGATTGTTGAGCTGTAACATCCCCCTTCAAGATGGATTTGTGTAAATCTATGATTCCCATCTTGTCAAGTAAGAAACGAAATTGATCTGCTCCTAAAGCTTTTGTAAAAACATCAGCCAACTGATGTTTGGAGGAAACATAAACCGTTTTAATCAGATTTTTCTGTAGCTTCTCCCTTACTATATGGCAATCTATGTCAATGTGTTTTGTCCTCTCATGAAAGACTGGGTTTGAGGCTATGTGCAAGGCTGCCTTATTATCACAACACATCAATGCAGGCTTCCAATGATCTACCCCAAGATCTTTGAGTATTCCTAATAGCCAAACCACTTCACAGCAAGTTGTGGCCATTGCTCTGTACTCGGCTTCAGCTGATGACTTCGACACAGTTGTTTGCTTTTTAGACTTCCACGAAATCAAAGTTTCACCAAGAAAGACACAATATCCCGTCACAGATCTTCTACTATCCACGCATCCTCCCCAGTCCGCATCACAGAATGCTTTCAATTGCAAATCAGATGTGCTGGACATAAAAATCCCTTGTGCTGGAGCATGCTTAATATATCTCAGAACTCTATGTACTGCATCTAAATGAGGTTGTCTTGGTGCTTGCATAAATTGGCTAAGTGTCTGAACAGCAAAGGTCAGATCAGGTCTCGTGATAGTTAGGTATATCAATCTGCCAATCAGCCTTCTATATTCTGCAGGATTGGTTAATACTTGCCCCTCCTCACGAGATAATTTCAAGTTTTGTTCCATAGGAAACTTCGAAGGGCGAGCACCAGTTAAACCTGAATCTTGTAGTATATCAAGAGCATATTTACGTTGTGAAACGGTAATTCCAGCAGAAGATCTAGCAATCTCCAAGCCTAGAAAATACCTGATAGTCCCCAGATCTTTAATTCTAAAAGTGGAATTCAAATGAGACTTAAGAGCATTAATGCAAGACATATCAGAACTTGCAATAATTATGTCGTCGACATAAACCAGTAGAACCATAAATGCATCAGATTTCTGCAATATGAACAAAGTATGATCATGTTGGGATTGATTAAAACCATATTGTAGAAGACATTGAGTGAATTTGATATTCCACTGCCGAGATGCTTGCCTTAAGCCATATAGTGACTTCTTAAGTTTACAAACTGAATTAGAGGAATGTGAAGAGTAGCCAAGTGGTAGAGTCATATAGACCTCCTCATCCAATTCTCCATTTAAAAAAGCATTGTCAACATCAAGTTGATGCACATGCCAATTTCGAGCTGCAGAAACGGCCAGCAATGTCCTCACAGTTACTAGCTTAGCTACTGGTGAAAAAGTATCTGAAAAATCTAATCCTTCAACTTGATTGTAGCCTTTAGCTACGAGCCTAGCCTTATAGCGTTCTACCATGCCATCAGACCTGAATTTCACTTTATATACCCATCGACAACCAACAGATTTTTTGCCAGGAGGTAAGGTAGTTAATTCCCAAGTTTGATTTGCTTCAAGAGCATCAATCTCAGCTTGCATAGCTTTTCTCCAATGTTCAACTTTTACAGCTTGATAATAATCTGAGGGTTCAAAAGTAGTTGAAACTGAGAGGATTTTCTCCAATGTTCAAATTTTACAGCTTGATAATAATGTGAGGGTTCAAAAGTAGTTGAAACTGAGAGGCAAAAGTTTGTAAAAGAGGGTGACAATTTGTTGTACTGTAAGGATGAAGATAAATCATGAGGAGCACTTACCTTATTCGATCTCCCTGAACACATGGAGTTAGACTGATCTGATGAAGAAGTAAGGAGGTTGCAATGATATTGGTCAAGGTAGCTAGGAACATTCCTAATTCTGGAAGATCTACGAGGCATATTGGCAGAAGACTGTATACTTGTATTGGAGGTATCCAATTCTTGGGAAGGAAGAGATTTAGGGAATACAAATGAATTATCAAATGAAGTAGAGTTTAAACTCTTGTAAGGAAAGATGTGTTCGTGAAAAACTACATCTCGAGATATGAAGGAGGTGTGAAGATCCAGATCATATACTTTATATCCCTTGACACCGTAAGGATATCCAAGAAATATGCATCTACGAGCCCGAGAGGCAAATTTAGAGCGATTGTGGGATAAAGTAGAAGCAAAACATAGGCTTCCAAACACTTTGAGGTGAGCATATGTAGGATGTTTATTGTATAAGATCTCAAATGGAGATTTGTTTTGTAGGAGAGGAGTTGGTGTACGGTTAATGAGATATGCTGCGGTTAAGACAGCTTCTCCCCAGAATTTAAGAGGTAAATTGGCTTGAAAAATGAGTGCTCGTGAGACATTTAGTATGTGTTGATGTTTTCGCTCGACTACACTATTTTGTTGTGGTGTGGCAACACAACTTTTCTGTTGAATAATGCCTTTTTCAGCACAAAAAATTCTCATATCAAGGTCAGGGGCATTATCAGTTCGAAGCTGTTTTATTCTGATCTGGAATTGTGTTTCAACTAAATTATAGAAGCATTGGATATATGATCTTGCTTCGGATTTATGTTGTAGGAGATATATCCATGTTGATCTGGAGAAATCATCCACTAAAGTGAGGAAATACTTTGCGCCATTTAAAGAAGAATGAGCAAAAGGGCCCCATACATCACAATGTATAAGCTGAAATAAATGTGTAGAAGTTGTATTGCTAATAGGAAAAGCATGTCTTTTTTGTTTTGCCATTGGACAAATGTTACAAAGAAATTCTTTTCGACTAGATATTACATCAGAATTATTACTAGCAAGATGTTGTAAACAACTAGATGACAGATGTCCTAATCGAAAGTGCCACAGGTCAAAGGAACTCGAATTTGAATAGGAGGTGGCACATGTAGGAGGTTTTGCTGGAATAAAAGGTTTTGTTGGAGATCTCAACAGATGATACAATCCTCCTCTTTCTTCACCCATACCAATCGTCGTCCATGATATAGGGTCCTGAATAAAGCATTGATGAGATAAAAAAATCAAGCAACAATTAGATTTATGAGTGAGTTTGCTGGCAGATAGCAAATTAAAAGAAAAAGATGGAACACACAGCACATTTGTCAAGCAAAGTTTATCTGAAATTACTACATTGCCTATGTGAGTAACTTGTGCAAATGTACCAGTAGGTAATTGCACAGAAGAATTTACTGTGGCTGTTATAGTGTCCAAGAAAGAAACTGAACACACCATATGGTCTGTTGCTCCGGTATCAATGATCCAAGGAATATTTGAGAAAGAAATGTGATTAGAAGAAAAAGATAGGCAATGGTGTTTACCTGTCATGTTGCATTGAGGTTGAAATGTTGGTTTGAGGTTATCAGACTTATTGATCGAAGGAGTATCAATAGGTGGAACATTGACAGGTTTAATCAAGCTGAGTATTTGATTATATTGTTCCGGAGTAAATGGCATTGAAGAAAAGCTTTGCTCACCAGAAGATGCTACTGAATGAACTTGACTTGAAGAATTGATTCCCTTATTTCTGCCAGATTTAAAACCAGGAGGAAAACCAATAAGTCTGAAGCACTTGTCAGTTGTGTGTGAAGTATATCCACATTCAGTGCAATATAGTTTTCCCTTTCTTGGACCAGACTGCTGCTTAAATGAACCAGGTGCTATCTTACTAATCATAGCAGCAGAGTCAAGATGAGGAGAATAATGGCCAACATTTCTCTGAGTTTCTTCTTGCAAAATTAATGAGAAAACTTTGTTAATAGAGGGCAAAGGATCAGATAACAGTATCTGACCTCTTATTGCACCAAAGCTCTCGTTTAGTCCCATAAGAAAGTGTAAAACATAATCTTGATGATGATAGTCCAGTAGAATCTTAACACTGGGACTAGGATCATTAGGAAGAGGGCGATAGTTGAAATATTCGTCCCATAAGGTCTTGAATTTTGTGAAGTAATCAGATACTGATGATGAACTTTGATTGAGAGCACATATTGCCTTCTTTAGTTGAAAAATGCGTGGAGCATTTCCCTGACTGAATCTCTCTTCTAGCTCTTTCCAAAGATCAGAAGCATGGGCAATATATAGGACACTTGCAGCTATCTCTTTGTTCAAGGAATTTAGGATCCAGGAACATACCATGTCATTACACCGAATCCATGCTTGATAAGAAGGATCAGTTATCAGTGGCTTTGGGAGATTACCATTGATAAAACCAAGCTTGTTCTTGGCTGAAATGGCCATCGACATAGATCTCTTCCAAGGAAAATAATTGGATCCGTCGAGTGCCTGGGAAACCCAGACAGTACCAGGGCTATCATTGTTTGCCAAGAACAAGGGATTAGAGGAATCATCTGAAGCCATGATTAACACTGGAATTTTGTTTTTATAACACAGCGGAAGGTTTTAATTCATTGCTCTGATACAATAACAAAAGGGGCATAGCAATATGAAATGAAAAAATATGTTGGCGGGCCGACCCGGCCCATCCCGGATTGACACCTCTAGACAAAAGAGAGTGGCACGTTCCTCTATTGAAACATAATACCTTGCTCTGGCCTCTAGCTCTGCTGAGATTCTCTGTGTTCAGAACTTGTTAGAAGAACTCTGTGCTCTATTGTTATCTCAACGCCCTATTATCTTTTGTGGAAACCTCAATGCCACCTACTTGTGTGTCAATCTGGTGTACCACTCTTACCTAAAGCATATAAAAATTGATTATCATTTTGTGCGCAATAATGTGTCCACTGGAAACTAAGTTGAAATTTGCTGTCCAAAATCGGCTTATGCTCTTACCACGTCCCAATATAAGAATCTCCAATGGGAGCCCTGTCTTGTGACGACATTGCATGATAAGGATGACGATGATGAGGAAAAGGATAAAGTCTACAATCGAACCACCTCGTCCATCAATTTAACCTTCAAGCTCATCAATAGTTGCCGTCGGAACTAGGTACCAGCTTTACACTGCACAAAGCTATGCATTGTATCCATAGGTTGCAACACATGTTAGTTTATAGATTATTTTGTTAGTTTTGTCTTCTCATTACATAACCATTTGAATTATTCGTAACGACAAAGACAGTTTGAAACACACAACTTCTACCTTGACATGATTTGTACAAGGCCATCACGGGATTAGACAGTAACAATTATTCTGTTACATGTACAGAATCATTGTAGAGATATGTTGACATGTGCATGCATCTGTCCCTTGATGAAATTCAAATCAAGTTGACCTCTATGTGCAAATAGGTTAATTGCAGTAACAATATCTACACATGCTCATCACATAAATGTAAAAACCAGTTAAAACCTATTTTTCGTAACCAAGTTTGTTTTTTTAAAAAAAATATTAAAATTTGCAATCAATGAGATTTGGACCTAGGAATTACTCTAGCTAGGTTAAGTTGTATGTTCTAATTCCACCAAGCTATTTTTCTAAACTTATCAGCCAAATAAATTTTATATTTTTGAAGCCCTCAACCAGATAATAATATACCTAAATATTATTTTCTATTTTCAAAAAAAAAAAAAAAATACTCGTTCATCATTTCAAAGTATTTAACAAAATATCAGAATATAAATCATCAGTGACTAGATGTACTAATTCTACACGACTTTCAAAAAAATTCATGAACGACATTACATTGGATAATAAAATACTAAACATGTTTAAACATTTGGAATATTTTATGATGTTGAGTTAGGTATTTATTAGTATGAGCCAAAATACAATCCTCTTTGACACGTTTCTATAGGCTTTGAATGATATTTTTTTATCCACAATGTTTCCAAATAATTAAACAATTGTTTTATTAAAATATTCTAAAGTGGATCGACGGATGAAATTTCATACTTTAGTAATCCTAAAAGTAAGTGATGAACTGTAACAATTGTGCACATCAACATGTTAACATCGTAGCTAATTTGTTGAATCTTAAGAAAATAAAATATTTAGGAGAACCGAAAGTAATGCTCTTATTCAAATGGAGTTTAAACGCTGGAACTTTCCATACATTTTACGTCATGGATCATATGGAATATTATATATATTTTTTTGAGAAATTAATATATTTGATAAAATTGATAATAATCTATTATATAACATTTTCTATATATGAAGATTCATATAAAAAAAAAATATCAATGTAATGTGATAAGTGTAGTTTTTATACTTATTCGTAACGCTAAATCATGATATTTTATTATTTTTTGAATAAAATTCTACGTAATTTATGTTAAATTGTATTTCGTATGTAAAATCTCATGTTTAATGAAGAATTGAAGAAAAAAATGGAAAATGCGGAAAAATAGAAAAATTCATAGTACGAGGACTTGGAAGCATGCATTAAATTAATTGGGCCTCAATTTGGACTTTTAATTAGATATAGAATTTGACGATTTGAGATTAAATATAACGACAAAGAGAACATTGGACCGAAATTTAAAAAAAGATGCTATTTTACCTTGTCATGTTATATATACCTACATAAAAAAAAGAGAGGTGCCGGCAGTTGGAGTAGAGAAGAGAGGCTGAATTGTTTAAACATACACACATTCACGCACACACCAAAGGCAACAGCTTCTAATTTATATATATACAAATCACGCATTGNATGATATAGTTTAAGATTTTTATTATATGTTTAATTTCAAGATGTTCAAGCCATTTTAATATTTGTTAATTAATTATTGTGTGTTCAATGCTATTATTTGTTTGCACAGCAATTAATTGATTTATGGATAATATTGAGATCGAGAGGTGATGTATAATTCTAAATCGTGCAATAATTAACATAGATATTATAAGAGATCGAGAGATAATTATAAGCTATAGATAAATGCGTTCATATGTGTGTGAATTTGTATAGAGATATAATGAGTTCGTGCATATGAATAAGATTAGTGTTGTTCGAGAGAGATCAGTAATTACTTCTAGTTAATTCGATTGTTGGCGTGTATTAAAAATGGGTGATTAAATTGGAATTAAATGTATGATAAATAATCTAAGTGAAATTGAAAATCCTAACTACCTCATCACATAATCTTTTCTACAATTTTAGTTTGATTTTGTTATTTTAATTAATAGTTCGTTATTTTATCTATTAGAATTTAGCTTAGAAAACAAAACTTGATTTGATAATTAATTACTATTTTTATTTAAATTAAAGCTAGGTTAGTTTAAGAATTTATAGTAGATAGTAGTATTGGTGAGACGATATTGAGACTTAATAAATTCATTTTATTACTTGTCACGATCCGTACACTTGCGGAATTCTACGAACAAGTAATGTATCAAAAACATCTTTTTTTTTTTTTATTCTTTTGCTTGATCAAATACTTCATTATTATTTGTCATATAATTTCAACATCTCAATCTGATGGTTTGTTCCCCAACAATTGATATCAGAGCTATTCTGGTATCTTATTTGTTTTATATCATAAATGTTACTTCATATATAGCAATTGATGTTCTCCAAGTATGATCAATGAAAACGAAGCCCTATTCACTATATTTTTTAAATTAGATTGACCTTAAAAAACTTTCAAAGCTCAAAGAAACAAAAACTTCACAATTCATTGATTTCTTTATGGCCACTAACAAGAACACAAATGGCATGTTCAAAGATTCTTACCAAAAGCGGCTCAATAACATCGCAAACATCAGAAATAACCGCCCATCGAGTTGACAGTTTCAAGTATGAAATGTCACTTGTATATGGGCAAATGATATTCTTCAAGGATGGTCAATGAAATCCATGGAAAATGATAAGAGATTTCATTCATTTTTCATGTCACTTTTCTGAATCATTAATTTCTTATAGTTTAATTAGATTCACCAATAAAACTAAAATCTTCACAAGTATTTACCTAATTATCAAGGAGCGAACTTTTTCAATAATATAGGTCAAAATGTTTGGCATTTCTTTCTTCGAGCCCCTGTTTGGTAAAGATTAAAATTAGATTTTTAGTAGATTTTCCCATGAAATATGTGAATAAAATTAATTGTTGACTTTAGCATTAGCCCCTACTTGTTTTCAATTTTAATGAAAATTTGTACCGTTATAGTGGGAAGCAGCCGCTTTTGTCGACCAATTTTGGTGATACTCGATTGTTTGAAAAAGGTCAAAAAAATCCATTATTATGTTAAAATAATGGGAAACAAACGGTCCTTAGTTACAATTTGATTACTGAATACAAACAGAATTCTCTCTCTCACTCCTGTCCCCNTGATTCAATTTATCTTTCTTGGACGAAATAATGGGAAGCAGCCGCTTTTGTTGACCGGTTTGTCTCACAGTGGGACCCATTTGTTTGAAAAAAAGGGTTAAAAAATCCATTCTTCTGTTAAAATAATGGTGGGAAACAAACAGGTCCTTAAATTTTAATTCAAACCAAACGTGAGCTTAATTTTATCAGATGGAACATGATAAAATAGAAACAATAGTATAATTGAACAAACGAAATTTATTGACGGATAACATACATAAAATGTGTGGATACCAAACTACAGGCAAGTACCTAAATTACCTAATTACCTAAACTCGAGTACAAAGGGCACGATAATATCAATGAACAAAAATAATATTTTATATATAATTTCATTAAAATAAAATCAAGAAGAGGAGGATGGAGGATATTGGCTAGAACTGGTCCATGACGGTGCAGGAAAACTTGTGTTATTTTGATTTCCTTGTGGCCGGAAATTAACTGATTGTCCACCAGAAGATGATGAAGAAGCATAAAACATTTGATCCAACAAATTTATGGGAAAATTACCACTGCTTTGAAGTAATTGTGAGTGTTCCCAATAATCCCTGGAAATGTTTCCATGGATTTGGAAAGGCTGTGTTTGCATGAATGCTGGAGGAACCGCCGCCCTCAGTGGGGGAGGCATGGCTGCGATAGGTGGTTGTGAGGTGGCGGAAATGGCCAACTGTGTAGATTGTAAGAAATGGGATGGTGGCAAGTTCGTTACATTTTCAGGAAAATTGAGCTTTGCTCTATTGCCTCTGAACCTCAGGGCGGCTTCATCGTAAGCTCTAGCGGCCGCCTCGGCCGTCTCGAAGGTTCCTAGCCAGACTCTGGAGGCTTTGTGTGGATCTCTTATTTCTGCTGCCCATTTGCCCCATGGCCTCTGTCTCACTCCTCTGTATCTTCTTGTCTCTCGTGTTTCTTCATGTGAATTGCCAGACAGTTCTGTTTGTGGAGTTTGCTCCGCCGCGGAGGTGGCAGACGTGGTGGCTGTAGGTGTTGTAATACCAATTCCTGCATCTGGATCTGCAAAAATAACAGACAGTACAAAATATACATGCAATATTAATAGTATATAGATGAGAAGTAAAATCAGGGTTTAATTATAAAATAAAGTAACAAACCAGATTTGATAGAAGAAGATGATTCTCCGAAGCCTCGATGAACACTGTGGAATTGTTCTGGAAGAATATCTTCTGCATCACGTCTTCTCTTATGGCCAGCAAATGAAGGAAAATTAGATGAATAATTATTCCCCCAGTCTCCTCTGTAGCTCCGCCCTGATATGCCACGCGTCAACGCAGTCCCCGTCGCCGCCCTCTCTCTGGCCTGACTATTCTCTGGAAAAATTGGTGGCGGCTGCGGCGGTGGCAGCTATGCTGTATCATCTGGTGCCGGAAATCTGTCAAACTCACCGCTACCCCCTTGATTCGCCACCTTGAATGAGAACATGCACCAAACCCAAATATCAGATTTCTTACGAAGTTTTCTTCAAACTCGCAGAACGGAAAGGATTAAACTTTGCATGAATAATTCCCCCTGAAAATAGCATGGGATGAGATTTAATCAATTCTTAAAACAAAACGAGAATTTTTCTTCAGCAGCTTTTTGAAGACTTTCTTTTTCTCCATTTTTTGAGTGAATTGTCAAAGAAAAGCAAATGAAGAAAGAAATGGATTCAAACTTGTATGTCCGTCAATGGAACAGTGGTTTCTCTGTGTGATTTCTGAAAAATGTGTTTAAATATGGTGATTGTAATTAATTTTGAAAGAGGAAAAATTTCCTTTTTGTTGCTTTGTAAAAGTTAATATGATGATGATGCTAACAATTGAATAGAGCCGCTATGAAGCCATGTTTCAAACACCGTTTGACTGATCTGCCCTTTCATACTCTATAAGGTGTATTATTGGTTTCTAGAGTGAGAGCAAGAGATATCATCCTTTTATTGAGTTGTATCGAAATTCTTTTATCATAAAGTTTTTACCAATTTGTTTTGTGTAATTATATTCGTATCACAATTTTTATTATTTGTCGCATCATATTTTAATTGCTTTTAAAACCTCAACCTTTGCTCATTGTAGAATTTATGTTTTTTTTTTTTTTTAATATCAAATTCTTATGTGTCGCGTTCTATTAATTGGCAAATCTCATGCTTGATGATGTTTCTAGTCAAAACACTTATTTGAACAGGTGAATATTATTTGTCGCACTTTTGTATTTTTTTTATTTTTAAAAAATGAAGGACAAATAACTCATTTATACCCTCCAATGTACTTTTTGGATGGAAATCATTATCAAAGACGGGATATACTACTCATAAGAGTTTAAAGATAAAACACATCAAAAAAAGTTAGGCACATAAGTATTATAATAAGTATATATTGAGGAGTTTAAACATAATTAAATATGGTGCAACTAATAAAAATTGTAGGGTGAATATAAGTATGAATATTGGGTGGAACGGAGTTCGGTTAGTCATTTTCGTCCTCAGCCCCGTTCGGGTATTTTCTTCCTATCCATGCTTAACGCCGAGGCGAGTGCACTTTCCTTTCGGGGGATTATCTTCCCTTTTTCTAGGGACACCTCTTGCAAGGGTGTTATCCTTATTGGTCGGCCTTGATGGTCCGACTTCTAAATCTATCGTGGTGGAGGAGATGGAATGTGGTTAGCTTGTTCTCTAACGGTCGACTCGAAAGCTCTCTTTTCTCGCCTATTCCTAGACGTGGTATCATTACAAGGCCTATTTTTAGGCCTTGCACTTCTCAGCCTATCGAAGGTACTGACAAACCTGAAAGGTCTCTCGGGGGCTCGTAAATGGGTGTGAAAGATTCTACCACCTCATAGAACAGATCTATAGCAAAGGGACTTGGGTGTGGCCTTGGGAATTAACCTCAAGTTTTCGTTCGGAGGAATTTACCTCTCTCTCCACATCTCAAGGTGGTCACTATACATTCATTGTTGGAACTACATTTGCTAGAAGAAGAGTTGTATAGCGGTGTTTTGTTGTATCAGGTGTTGGAAAAAATGAGGAAATGATTGCCATTGACATAAATTTTGAATGGGACCCATTTGCTTATTTTGGAAGATCAACATTAATTTGCATTCTCCTCCGCCAGAATATCGAAATCATGTATTTACTTGTCAAAAATGAAGACTGGGTGAATGTGAAATTGAAGTTCAAAGTGGACCATTGGAATATAGTTTATATTTGAGGGAAAACTAAATTTGAGTTTATCCTACATAGGAAGTCTATGAAGGCAAGAACCACTTTATACATGGTTACACTTTGAAAGTGTGTAATCATATGTAGTATAATGGCTCTCTCCACGAGTGTGCATGGGGTGCAAATTATGGACCGAAATAGGTTTCGGATCTTGAACTTGTGTGCGGATGCGACATGCGTACACAAATGTCAGATCGAATTGACTCCTTAGGTTGGCCTACGTTTTTTTCAATTTTTTTTTTTTGTTTTTTTGTTTTTTTTGTTTTCAACAACTAACTTTTGGTTTTTGAAACTCTAATTGTAGCCAAGATATATAATGAACAAAATTATGGGTGCTGAATTTATATACCAAGAATGATTTGGTTGTTACATTTAGATGTCATTATATGTGAGTAATTGTAGCCAAGATATATTAATTGATGTCGATTGGATGCTTACGTGGCCTCATTCCAACGACTCACTGGTCAAGCCCATTGTATCGTGTCAATCCCTAGCTATCATAAACCTAAGCATAAGATTGAAAAGTTGTGATCTGATTGAAAGGTGTCTCTCTAAAGCTGTCCAAGAGTTGTCCCATCAATAAAAGATGCCCATTGCCTCGACTATACAATGTAGCGAAAATGTGGTGCATCGCCTCAAATAGTACTTGTTCCTAGCAAAATGCCCGTGGACATGGTTTGATCACCTCGAAGAAAACCTGCAAAAGAGGCAATAATCATTGTCCGTTTAGAGAAAGCTTGTCTCCATCTTGCTATTCATGAATTTCTTTCGCTCCTAACAATTTGAACACAACACCTCTACCATAGAAGACATTTAGTTAGAATTGAATGTGCGTTACACGTTATTTCGAAATGTTTTATAAGTGTTTGAAAGTAATATTTGACTCTCCATATACCGTTTTGATCTGAATATGAGATAAATGCAAGTCCACGAAAATAAATATTAATTATTATACGTGCACATAAATAGTGAAATACATAGTTGAATGTAAGTATTAGAATTACAACTAAATGCATAAATGAAGATAAATGATAAATACTATACATCAATTAACGTGAATGTTAATTAATTATAATTAATACCAAGAAACATATGTAACAATGAATGTTAAATAATTTATACTAGATGAATATAATTTAAGTTTCAATTAAATGAGACTGGATGCTAATTAACATACATGGACGTGAATAATGAACTGGATTCTTGAATGTGAAATTCTACTTAATATTAATTTTATGAATGTGAATGTTAATTAATTGAGAATTAATAACAGGGATATGGACGTTGACATGAATGAGAATGTGATTCTAATTAATATTAATTAAATGAATGTTAATATTAATTAATTGAGAATTAATATCAGAGAATACATGTTAGAATTACAACTAAATGTATAAGTGAAGATGAATGTCAAATATTATACATAAATTAATGTGAATGTTACTTAATTTAGAATCAATATTAAGGAATAATATATATGATAATGAATGTTAAATCATTTGTACTAAATGAATATAATTTAATTTTCATTAAGTGAAATTGGATGCAAATAAGTAATTAGCATACGAATTACATTTTTTAATTTGAAATTCTAATTAATATTAATTCAATGAATATGAATGTTAAATAATTGAGAATTAATAGCATGGATATAGATATGAACGTGAATGTGAATTTGAAACTCTAATTGATATTAATTAAATGAATTTGAATATTAATTAATTGAGAATTAATAATAGGGAATATATGCATGAAAAATGATTTTATTATATTTATTACAATTTGTAAATTAAAGATATACTGAAAAATGAAAAGTAATGCATTATTGAAATGTAGTAGAATTATAATTTTTCGAAAAATAATTCTCATTTAATGTGATATTTAATATATTATTGGTACAATTAAGCAACTAAAAGATACAATTGCACCACTTAATCCATCTACTTTTAATTAAGTAGATGAAAGATGGCAATGGATTCGGAAGGAAAAATTTTCCAAATACTTTTACGGTTTTAGCTCTTACAAAACGCACCCTTATGTCAACATCTAATGGTCTAAAATTATAATTTTGACCAAAATTCAAACTTTTATTAATTATATTTATTTGGCAAAAATCGGTCACCTCCTCCACGCTTTTCAAATGGTGAAATTATTATATTGTAGAGAATTGTAGGGTTAATTACTTTACCGAAAGTTTTCACGAGGTCACTAAACTTTAAAAATTACGTGGTCAGTCACTGAACTTTGAAACTGCAACCACATCCATCACTGAACTTTAAAAATCTCCACATTCATCATTGAACTTTGCAAAAAGTTTTTCAAATGGTCACTGAATCAGTGATCATTTGGGAAACCTTTTGCAAAGTTCAATGATTCCGTAGAAATATTTTGCAAAGTTCAGTGACTAATGGGGTCTAAAAATTTCAAATCACTACGATGAGATTGCAGTTTCGAAAGTTCAGTAACTAAGCACGCAGTTTTTAAAATTCAGTGATTATTGGGGTAATTAATCTAGAATTGCACGGTCAACATATGGAAAAATATATATATCGTAGAGAATGGTACGGTCAACACACGTTTCTTTTCTTCAAAGTCGTGTAGTTAAATCCACCAACTAAAGTTGATATAAGAGTTATCCACGTATACATAAAAGAATTCTCAAAGAAGAACTATTGAAGAAACTGTAGAATATTTTATAGTTCTTTTTTAAAAGCAGAATTTAGAAATAAAAAAATTTATCATTTCAAAATAATTCAAAGTGATCGACTTATCTTGACCCATTAAAGTTGATCGAAATTCTGAGCACGAATGAGTTATATTATAGTCTTCGTCTTTTATTTTTAAAGCCAGTAAAAAAATACGAAATCTTGCATGAAAAATATATTTATTCTGTATTTTTGAAGTCTTTTTCCACCTTTAAATTATGATAGTTCAGGTATCAAACATTGACTGAAAGAAACTACTTTTACTCTCTCTCTCTCTCTCTCTCTCTCTCTCTCTCACACACACACACACACACAAAATAAAAATACTTAGATGGTTGGGTCATATTTAATTAGGGGTTACCTAAAGAGGCTTTCACATCATAAAAGTGATTTAATTTCAATAGAAAAAGTTAGATTAGAAAGGATTGAACAAAAATTAACCCAATATTTAATAGTTCCTAACAATCTAGTAATGTTAAATCTTTTGTCACGAGCATCACGATATAATGCGAAATTTTCATATTGTCGAACTCAAATTTATAAAGAATAAGGCCTACTTTATTGTCGTTGTCACCTTTGTTGTTGCTCTGTTTCAAGAAACTTAGGAAATTTAACAAAAAAAATTAGGATAAAAATATCTGTATTAATAAAGCCCAGTTGATAAAATAAAGCTAACAAGTTTGGTTCTTTCCTAACCAGCTTGTTCAACTTTAACTGAAATAGTTAAGTTGAATAATTAAGATTATTATGAAAAGTATAAGGATGAGATTGTTAGGCAATGTGAATTATATAAGTCATAAGTCATACGTGAATTGTTTGGGAAAAAACAGGTAGGGTTCCTAAATTTGTATGGTACATATGGGCACCACACTTTGAATCAGCTTTACTTAGTGCAAAAGTGTATGGGAGAATTTGTGGAAAATGTTCTTATTTTAATGTTTCAAAGTGTGAATTGATATTTGTAATTTGCTAGTTTGAAAGACTGTGAGGTTGAGTGTCCAATGTAGTAA